TTAAATAGAAAGAAATCCCTGATAACTTTGTAAAAAGAGTCTAAACTAATTAATTACTTCCTTTTGGACACTGAATAGTTTTAGTTTACCATATTTCATACATATATTTATATGCATGAGCCGCACAAATTGCCTGCAAGAGCCGTATAAGGCTCGCGAGCCGCACATTGGCCACAATTGGTATATATATTTTGCATGTGCATATATATATGTATGCATACACACACAAATAGACATGCACATGTATATACATACATACAATCAATCCTCATAACAGAAGAGTATCAATATTTCTAGCAGCTGCTTTCTTAATTTTGCATGAAGTTATCCTGGTTATGAAATCTCATTTTCATATTTGTTCAACTACCTTTCTTCTATAATTCAAGGTAATTTCATATGTTGTATAAAAATTAAAAGCAGTTTTATAGAGTGTTCGTAAGATTATTCTTCATGTCCACCTGTGATTTTTTAATATTGTGAATTCATTGTATTCCTGATTACTTGTATTTACATTCCACAATAAAATATGAGCATATAAAAAGTGTGGTTTCATTTTGGCATGAATGCAACTTCAGTACTTGGTTTAAATTTCACGAAACTTTCCTGAGTCAATAGGTGTTTTTTCTAAAATTAATACCATAAATACTTTAAATATACACTTATGCATTATTTCATTTAGCCTGTTTATATTATAGACTTTTAAAAATTTAGTACCTTATTCATATTCAGTTCTTGTTCTTCATTTTTAATCTAACTGATATGCAGTTTGAAGTTTGCTCACATGGTATCAAGCTTGTAACAAATTGGTTAAATGTGGTACTTTATGGTGTATTTTCAGGAAAAGCTATATCTTTAAATTATAATGTTTTTTAAATGTAGGGTTATGAAAAACTATGTCAGTGCTTGCATTGTTATAGTATTCTGTATTAAGAATTAGTCAACTTTTTATATAAACCAACAGATTTTTAACATCTGAGATAAGTATGAGTAGTGTGCTCTCTAAATTTTTTATCGCTTAATATTCAAATTTGGCATCTTCGCTTATTTGTTATCTGATGAAAGGTTTTTACTTGTTTCATTCTCGTTATTCTCCATAATACAAATGAAATAGTTAAAATTATCTTTCAAAAAATTAGCAAAAATATACAAATTTTATTCAGCTTTATTTTCCTAAAATAAACACTTGCATTTATGCTGGAAATAAAGCAAAGATAGCAAATTTTCGTTATTTCATATAGCCCACCAGAGGCCGAGCGGTTAAGACACTGAACACTGGTAGTTCGGTCCGAGGTTCGAATCCTGTGAACGGGCTGGCTGCATGGGCGTTTTCATGGTTTTTCCCATGTGTAACGTGTATACGAGCCAGTTTCCCTTAGAAAGTCCTCCACGAAGGCATCCCTTCCCTTAGGCAGATAGCCGTAATTAAATAAACCAAACCAAAACCATTATTGATCTTCATCAGTAACTAATAATAATATATGTAAAACAATAATAATAATTCATAATAAATTCTCCTGGTCAAAAGACAAAAAAAAAAAAAAAAAAAAGTTAAAGTGAGACATTGAAATCAAATTATGAGCCATACTGTGCACTTTTATAACAACTTTTCCATATTAAGGAACAAGTAGTACAACAAATTATACATGGCAGTAGATAAAAAAAATAAGTTGCATTTTTTGTTAAATTTTTATAAGACATTATAATAAAAATATACAAATTGCACCCACACAGAAAAATAATCTTAGTTGTTAAAACTATAGTGTTCTGAAATTATAAGTTTTATAGTAATTAATGTATGCTAATTTTTTCAAATAAATGTATATTTGTGTGCTGAAACAGCTTAAATTAATAATACCATATATATGTTTTTTTCAAATAAATGTGTGTGCTGAAATAGCTTTAATGAATAACACCGTATTCATTAAGCTATTTAATTTGAATATAAAAAGTTTAAGGGCTATATACAGAAGTCACGTAATATATTTTTCTTATTTATAATTGAACTAAAGAACAAAATAAGGAAAAGATCATTACAAACCTTGTTTTTTTATGGAACTCTAAGTTTCATACATTTTATCATGTTATTATAATTATGGCGAGTCTTTAATCTTAATGTGACTTAAAACTAACTTAAAGTAAACTAACTTAAAAGTGAGATCTTAAATCTCCTGTGGTGAGAAACAGTTCTAGACATCCTACTTCACTGAATTTAATATTTTTTTCACATTACGTTATGAATGCATATTCTGTGTTTGCTTAAAATTGATGACGAATATGGCGTAACTTTAGCGACGGTATCTTTGTGCATACGTTTATGTGCTTTTAAATATCTCATCACATAGAAAGATGCACTGCAAGATTTGCATTATGTTTAAATATCTATATAATATGGATATGTTTAAATATCCATCTCAGTAAAAAGCAAAAAGAAAGAAAGCGAAGTGCAAGCTCTTTGATTTAAACAAACTGCTAACAATTGACGAGATACGCAGTTGGAGGAGAACTAGAAATAGAGCCAAAAACGTTTCAGGACTGTCATGTGATATAGTCAATGACAGTAAAGATAAGCATTTTGCGTTATCTATCTTGAGATGCCTGTTGCAGCATGGCTCTAGAAACTTCTGGATGAATTGGTCACAGGGCTTCGAAAATAGGTTTTCGTGTCATAACGAACTTTGCATTTATCTTGCATAACACATCCTGCAGAGTATAAATACGGGTCTGAGAACAAGAGAGCTTGTGAATCAGGTGCCAGACTTTGCAGTTAGCTGAATTACAAGTTAGTGTTTATCCTGAGAGAGTGATTTAGGAAACTTTAGAATTTATTTCATGAGCTAAAAGTGAATTGCTAAATATCCCTATTCTCCTTGATTTGTTTTCAGCCATTTTTGTTCTGTGTGTAATAGTATTGTGCCTATTCTCCTAATAAATTGTTCATACCATCCTGCTTATCTGGACTCATTATTTAAAGAAACATCAACAATCCTATCACCTAACTGGACAATGATTACGTATATGATAAATGTGTAATTCACATTTACAGTAGAATAGTTATTATAAAGCATGACTTTATAAATAGATTTAATGTATGCGTAGATTAAGTATAGGATAAATGCATAGCTTAGATATACAGTAGAACAGTTATAACAATTTTATTAAATTTATAATAAGATACATAATTAAATTAAAATGAGACATCCAGATTAGTTACATAAAAATCAAATAATTTGTTATAAATACACAAATTTTAAAAATACTTAAATAGCATAATTTTCTTAAACATTATTTAGTGACTTTTCTTTTAAACTTTTGGCATTCAATTCACTGCAATACAAATGATCATAGCTGGGATCTGAATTAACAATTAATTGATTTAATAAAATAGGTTTGGTATTATTTTTTTCTGCTGTTGAAGGATTTCCAAACTGTACTTTTTTACACACTTTTCGTCGTTTTTTAACTGAATAAAATCTCTTTTGGGGAACAATTTTTTTATTTGTTGGTTCTTTTGAAATTGAAGCATGTGCTTTATCTAACAAAGGAACTTCTAATAAAATGTTCAATTGCATTTAAATGCTTTTTTATTTGTGTAGCAAGATTAATGTCCATATTTTCAATGCAGTTTAATTTTTCAGAAATTGAAAATGAAGATTGAATAAGTTCACTAATGCATGTTTTACTTACTGTTAAAGATTCATAATTATTCCTAGTAGGTATTCTGTTTAGAGGGCCTATATAAGGTTCTGTCTTTTTTTCAGACATGATTACAAAATGTATATGTTTACACATATTATTTAAAATAGAATAATCATGGCATGTACATTTATAAGCTTTTAAACAGCATGAACAAAGTCTACAAGTTATGAGGCATAAATCATTACAAACATGATCTCTGATAATTTTATAAGAATTTTCTCCCAGTTCTGATGAAACTTCCCATACATCATCTTTTTTTACACAGTTAGCATTTAAAAGCTCAGCAGCTTTATGACGTTGAAATGTTTTTGTTGTCTTCTTTGTTATTTTTCCTTTCTGATATTTTATGTAAGTGTCAAACTTTTGATCATTGACAAGATTAATTAACTCGATGATACATTTATCAACCCGTTTGGTTTTCTTCCCATCTAAATAAATATATTTTAATTTCCGATGAAATGTTTCAACATACATATTGGTGTTGATTTTAGCCCCTTTTCTGAAACAGTATGCCCACATTTTGGCTCTTTCAAAATAGTATGTCATAAAATATTTATGGAATTCTCGCGTGTCTTCATCTTCACATAGTTGCTCAGAAAATGTTTCTAACATTTTGTTGAACATTTCTTCATCTAATTCATACATTAAAGTTTTTAAAGTTTTGTACACTGCTTGTCTTTTATGTTTTGGCACAGAATTCAAATGACCTTTCCATGCTCTGTCCACATGCCAAGCACATAATAATTTTTGGCAAGAACCAAATGTATGCTCCCATGCATTATAGAACATGGGAGCATCATCGCTCATGAAAACCTTTGGCTTGATATCAATGATCTTTTTGATGCAGTTAAAAAAGTTTACCAAAATTTTTTCTGATACTGTTGATGATATTAAGAAAGCAACTGGTATGCCCTCTTCATACTTATCAACGACAAGCAATGTTCAAATCCATAAGCAGAAATTCCATGTGTAGAATCAATACAGATTCTATCAACATTTTTTTTTGAAATTCTGTCATTATTGCTAACATGAAATCATTTTCGTTTACATTTGCATATTTTTCTCCTTGACGTTTATACATCAGAACGGGGTTGAATTCCATTTGCGACATCGTATTAACCCAGGACCAAACACTTGTCTCATCATCTGTTAAAATTAATCCTTTAGAATTAATGCTCAGACCAAAATCCCTCTTAATGTTATGCAGGTCTTTTCTCGTTATTAACTGTTTTGTTTCAATATCATCTCTCGAAGAGAATCTTGCATCTTGCAAAATTCGTTTCTCTTCCACCCCCTGCAATAATTTACCTGAAATAATTTAAAAAGATAATTAGGAGATAAAAATTATATATACTATATGCAAAATAAAGTTTTTCATTTATATGAACTTGAAAAGAAAATTTTATATTATTTTATACCTACTAAATATGAATTCCATGCAAACAATGGTATGATATTAGAATATCAGCTTGCAACTGAAATTTTTTTTTAATGAACATTTCATTGCCCTAATCAATTCTTTCAACAATATATAAAATAGTAAGTGTTTTGAAATTTGAACATCAACTTAAGGAGTACAGCAACTGAGACCAATATTTATCCAGCGCTTTTTGCATTTCTGCCTTATAAGACACAAGCAACGTAAGTTGCAATGTTTCAGGAAGTGAAATGTTGGTACCCTAAGTAGAAGCCGGACATTATAAAATTTGATTTTGAAGCCGCAGCCATCAATAGCTGTATGTTAGAATTTCCCAGTTCGACTATATTCGGTTGTAACTTTCATTTTAATCAATGTTTGTGACATAAGATGAATGGGGAGAAATGGGTGTAATAAAGGAATATAAAGAGAACGAAGATATAAGACATGTCTGTAGAATGATTTCTGCCTTAGCTTACTTGCCAATAGAACATGTAGATGATACTTAGAGCATTGTATAGGAAAAAGCTTTTAGCATTGACAAACTTACCACATTCATTGATTCTTTTTTGTCGAGTAGTGAATGGAAAATCAAAATATGCCCATTAAAATACGGAATGTACATGGACAGCATCATAAGACAAATAATTCTGTTGAAAGGTGGAATTCTAAATTAAACACAATCACTGGCAGAAACCAGCCTATTGTGCACTTATTAGTTAAAATACTAAAAGAAGAAACACAAAAAAGTGTCTTTTAATTTGAAAGCCAGAGAATTAGGCGACCCTGAAATAACAAGGAAAAAAGCATATGTAAAATTGGATGAAAGAATTAAAAACATCCTAAAAAGAATTCGAAACATCAAACAATTTAGAAAAATGCCTAAAATCTTTTAAGTTTTGTAACTAGGTTGGACTAAATTGTAAATTATATTTATGCCTTTATAATAAAGGATAGCTAGTATTTATTTACTAGTATCTGTTTTGTATATTTTACTTCTAATATTTATTTTTACTTACATTAATGCAGCTAATTAATTTTATGATAACTGCACCTGTTCTAATATTTGACTCTAAAATACAGTTTTCCACAAAATCCCTGAAATTTTTATTTTTAGTCTGCTATTTTTATTAAGTCTGCTGTTAAGCCTAATTTTAAATTTCACACTCGCGTGTTTCTCTCCCAATCTGAATTTTTCATGAATGATTTTCGTTATCAACTTCATTAATATTAAAATTCATTCACTTTTGGAATTTTGAACCACCTGTATATTAATGACAGCTAGAAAGGCTCCAACTGCATAAGTAATTATAGTTTTATTTAAGAGAAATTAATACAATCAAAATACGGTCTAACACATAACTTGCCTGCTATACTTTGCTTTTCTTGTTTAGGAATAGGGAGATGACAAAGGGATTTTTCATGCTTGTAATGTTCTTTAAAATATACAGCTTCAAAACGATTGCCAAAATCTTTTAGTATGACAGTAGCTGTGCAAGAGAAACCTGTTTTGGAAGTCCCTTGTGCTTTTAGCTGTCTTTCACCTTTGCCTTTTGCTTTGTATGTCCCACTTCTATTACAGCAAAACAGCGTCCTGGTGTAATTTTTATGTTTCTGCCCAGATGAATCTACCACAAAATGAGTCTTTGTTTTTCTTTCTTCATCCGATAGCCATGAATAAAAGTCTAATAAATAAATAAATGTATAAATTTTCATAATAAGGGCATCTGATTAGTAAATAAAAATATGCAGATTGCAGCCACACAGAAAAATAATCTTAATTGTTAAAACTATAGTGTTCTGAAATTATATGTTTCAAAGTAATTAATTTGTTAATTTTTTCAAATAAATGCATATTTGTGTGCTGAAACAGCTTAAATTAATAATACCATATATATGGTGTTTCTTCAAATAAATGTATTGCTGAACTAGCTTTAATGAAGCTATTTAATTTTAATGTAAAAAGATTAAGGGCTATATACAGAAGTTACGCAATATATTTTGCTTATTTATAATTGAACTAGGAAAACAAAATAATAAAAAGTTCATTGCATACCTTGCTTTTTTTGAAACTCCAGTTTTATACATTTGGTCATATTGCTGTAATTATGGCAAGTCTCTAAGTGAGATCTTAAATCTCCTGTAGTAGGAAATAGTTCCCGGCATTCGTCTTCGCCGCATTTAATATTACTTCGCCTTATATTATGGATACGTATCCTATGTTTAGCTAAAGAATTTTTTGTACAAAATTGCTTCGTACAATACGTACACGAAAATGGTGCAACTTTATTATTTAAATTCGTGTATTCTTTGTGCATGCGCTTTCAAATATCTTTTCGCATAAAAAGATGAACTGCAAGATTTACATTTAAACATATCCATTTTGATAATAAAAAAAAAAGCAATATCCTTGATTTAAACAAACCGCTAACAATTGGCGAGAAACACAATTGCAGTTGGCGAAAAACCAGAAATAGCGCCTAAAACCAAAGAATCTCTTACAGATTCTTTGCCTAAAACGTTTCGGGAGTGTCACGTGGTATACAGCCAATGACAGTGAAGATAAGCATTTTCCTCTTCTGGTCTTGAGACGCCTGTCAGACTCGCTCTCCCTTCTGCTGTCGAGTGGAAAGAGAACCCGAGGTTTTTAGGATTTCTATAGAGCCTAGCAAAGCGAATTCAGATGCGACGCTTTTGCCCTCTCGCAACGATGACGTCAAAATAGCAGTTGGAAACCAGCTATCTCTCCAGCTAGGAAAGCATAACCGATGAACAGAAGCTGTTATCCAATGAAATTGTGTATCCCTGTAAACAAACTCACGTTGTTCGATAAGCGAAGGGAACTTGAACATTAGCGTCTCGTTTTCGGTTAAAATCATGCAAAGATCAAGTAATTTCTCTGTGCGAGAATTGGAAGTTCTTGTAAATTCTCTTGAGAGTTACAAAGAACTTGTTAGTGGAGAATTAGGAAAATCATACGCTAATTTAAATGAACAAAAAGAAGCATGGAGTGAAATTGCGGAGATTCTGAACTCTGTTGGGTTAGGAGTCAAAAGGACCGGACAACAAGTAAAAAACAAGTGGATTGATTTGAAAAGCCGCACAAAAAAGAAGGCAGCGAAAATAAAAAATAATCATTTCGGTACAGGAGGAGGGCCAAGTACGAATATGAAACTTTCATATGTTGAAGAAAAAGTCCTTGCCCTGATAGGGAAGACTTGCGTTGAAGGCATCACCTCATTAGAATTTGATACTAGTGCACAATATATAATAAATGTAAGCATCTTTTGAATTTTATAATGTGTTAATTTCAGATATATAAATAAGATTTTTTTCATGTGTTTGATGTTCAAGATATTACTGATATTCAGGGTGTTTTAAATCTTATTAATGTCATTAATAAATGTGAAAAGCGAGTATGATATTCATAAATAACTGAATTTTCTGGTAAACATTTGATAAAATAGTTATAAGTTACTGAATACTTTTTTCTAGTTTTGAGTGCTTGGATTTAAATTTAACAAATCTGTTATTATTTATTTGAATTAAGTATATAGTTATAAAACTGCAGGTTTTAGTCCCATTTATAATTCAAGTAATATATCCAACATGGGAGAAACTGTAATTTCTTGTATAGTTCAAACAGGCAAAAACTGTAGAAAATCCTCAAAATATTTCCATCTTTCACCTGCAGAAGAATTATATATATGTGTGTGTGTAATTTATAAGAATATTTGTGATCCTGCATGAAAGCTTTCCTTTCCTTAAACAGATAGCATTCTTTATGTTTGTCATAATTCAAACCTATTCTGGTGGTTTGTGAATTTCATGACATCTTTTTAACAAGTGTAATAATGTTATTGCCTTATCAAAAATGTAAAGATAATGTGTTAAAATTATGATTTTTAGAAAAATAACATTAAAATGTTTTTAATTCCCTGTGTCATGTATTAAAATATCTTTTATTCTAGCAGTTTTTGAATACCTTGATACTGAAATTGAAATAATAATATGTTATAAAACATAATTTTTGATTTGTTTTTCAATGAAAGGAAAAAATTACTTAAACTACAATAAAATTTCATTTCTAGTTTTCCATTTCTGATAATAAATGTGTATGTATGTCTAACTATTTCAAAATATGCCAGTTTCAGATTCACTTTACACTTTATCCTAAACATTTACTTTAACGAGTTTGGTAGGTATTACTGTTGGCTAAATCTCAGTATTTACACCATTTATTACCTTATTTCATTATTTTATTTATTATTATTGATAATACAAATTGCAAACTTAAAGAAATGTGTAAGCTGGTTTGCATTAGCAGATTTCCAGTTTCCTGCAGAAAACCTTAATTCTTTAAATTTCAAATAATTTTTAAGTAAAAGTTTTCTAAAGTTTCAATTACTGTATAGTTAAAATTTAATTAAGTAATATATACTAATTTATTTATCTTCAGGAACAAAGAAAACTGGAAGGAAATAGTAAGTTGTTACAAAATTAATTTTAAAATTTAAAACTCATTTTAAAAGTATATTTTTTAAATTTTTATTTTGAAATCATTTGCTGTAAAATTTTTTTGTCTTATGTAATATTTTATTTTTTGGAAGCTTCAGAAAATTCTGCGATACATACTCCAAGCCAACAGGTAGGTGCTAGTGCCATTATTTTCAAATAATCATGAATATGTTTGTAATTTTTTTGTATAATAATTTCTTAACATAAATATTTATCATAAATATTTCTTAATAACTTTACATATGTATTTGTTTTTTTCATTTTTTTAGAATACAGCATTAGTTTTCACGCCACGTTCCTTGAATAGTAAGTGTTTGAATACGTTAGTAAAAAAATTCAGACTTTTCCAAACCACAGCTTACTTGTATGCAAGTACATAATGTAATGCATTTAACCATTCTTAAAAATAAAAATACACTGTTAATGAATTGTGATAGAATTCTGAAAGAATGGAATTTTCAGATTTTTAATATATATATTGCTATCTAGATTTGATATGAATATATAAAAATATTAATTACATTTTTATGTAGTTCAAATAATTTCCACAGGGTACAGATATATGTATCTGTTTGCATGAGTTAGGTATCATTATATTTGTGCATTTCAAAAGTTTAAAAATTTTTAGGAAATGTAAATCATCACTGAAATATGCTTGTTAACTATGCTTACTTTTAATATTGCAGTATGTTTCTATCAATGCATATTATGATAAATGATGTTGCCCTACATTAGTAATTTTAGAAGTTTTCTCTGCTATTCTTCAAATAGTTGTGTGTTGATGAATGTTCTACTAAGTATTTTTTTTCCTTTCCTAGATGACAACTGCAGACCACAATATCATCAACAAAATTTGGTTAGTATTTCAAAATTTTAATCATTTTTATAAATCTTTTTAAAACGCAAAAATTGATGAATTGCAATTATTATGATTTCATGTTTGCATTTGAATAAACATTTTATAGACAAAAAAATTATCATTTCTTTAATTTTTGTCTTGTTTTATATGGATCTCTTGTGGGTAAAATTGATACACATGTCACTCTGTCTCTTCTGCAATGTTTTTATGGGAGATAAAATATCTATTTTGTTGATTTACTCACTTTGTTGTTTTCAAGCAGTCAAAGAGCAAAGCAGCATAGTATAACAGTTTTTATTCTGTCAACTTTCTGAAAGTTATTAGCTTCACTATCCATCTTATCACTTGAATTTTCTCTTGGAACAGATGTATCCAAGCTCCCAAAACATGTTAAACTGATACTAATCTGTTACTGCATTATACAATAGGTATGTCTGTTTCTGTAAACATTTATTATATTTCAGGGATCATCTTCAGTAAACAATTACAGAATATCTGATGGAAGCAATGAAAATTTTGCAGTTATAGAGAATGATGAAATGCCTACTGGTATTATATGCTATCTTTTAATTATGATTATGCAAAATAAAAAATTATCTCTGATTGTATAAATATGTCAGAACAAATTCTTGAGTAAATCATACTTATTTCATACGATTTCTTCTCATTTTCCCCCCCTAAATTTACTTTAGGAAACTCTACATCACAATGGCATTCTGCAGCTGAAACACCACAATGGCATTTAGGGAAACGAAAAAGTTTGTATTCTAGTTATATAAAATTACAGTATATATGCTTTTAAAAGCCTTATATGTTTTTGCCTTATTTATATGTGTCTAAATAAACAAGGAAAACCATATAGTATAAAATTATAAGATGTAAATGAAAACAATGAATTGTATAATTTTTTATTTTTGTTGTAAATAAATTGCCCTTATGGAATTCACTAATAACATTCAGGAGGGGGGGAAAATATATGTGAAATGTTCTAAATTAAATGCTCTGGTAATCCATTTTTTAAATAATTATTACTTGTGTAATTGATATTAAGGTAAGAAGTTCTGTTGTACACAAGATATGGCTATCTTCAAACCAATTTCTGGCTCGCATTCTTAAAAATTTTCATCTAACATGTAAGTAAAATTCTACCATTTAAGAAGTACAGTATATATAGTATTCAAATTAGTGTAGTATGCAAATTCGAAAAAAAAAAAAAAAAAAATATGACACTTTCTTTTTCATCAGCCAGCAAACTCAACAATCCTCTTACAATTCATTGTGAGAAAAAAAGTGTACTTTATACAAAAACATTAATAAAAAAAATGACTGTTGAATCCATAAGATGGAAATATGCATGAACTGAAATGAACAACTGCTGCCTGCATGTTGCACATAAACAAATTTTGGCAACATTTTAGTTTGTCACATACATAATTCTGTGCATGAATACTTTTTGGAGGGTAGGTGGATAATCAGAAAGAACCAATAAAATAGATATTAATCATTAAGAAATGTTTCTATTGCTTTTAAATTATTCATTTTTAAATGATAATTTAAAAATTTTTATTTTTAGATACAGGTTCTACAATCAGAAATAGAAGAATGAGAGAGAAAAGGAAAAGAATAGAAATGGAGAAAATTGAAGATGAAGAAAAGGACATCATTCAGACTCAAAAAAATATCTGCAATTTATTAGCTCAGATGCACAATTTATTTGAGAAATCTGTAGAAAATCAAAGAATTTGTATCGAAAATCAAAGAAAAATTATTGAAAACGAACATACAATCATAAATATCTTGAGAAAATGAATAAAAAAAAATTTAATATAACTTTATTTTCTATTCTAATATATTTTTTAAAAACATAGTTTTGAACTCGATACTGAATCATAAAAAAAATGATTTCTTTGCTTAAAATTTAGAAATCCACATATTTCTTGATTAGTTTTGGCATTATCAGATCTTTAATGATTATTGCATATTCACTTTTGACCAACTTCATGTAATTTTATTGTCATTGAAACATGTCAGAGTGCTCAATGTCATGAGCTTACGTGACCATTGCACATATTTCAAATCATCATTGCACTTCTGTACCTAATTTTTCCTGATAAAATGCTATTTCCATATGCCCATACATCTCGCACAGCATGTTATAACACTCCCTTGGTGTTTTTCCAAGTTTGAAACAAAATTTTACATTGCTGCATTTCACCTGTAGCAGCATTGTGGTGCTGTTCACATTATTTGGATAATGTGTACACAAAAACTGCATATCAGGACATCTATCAAGCTATATCTAAAATGGGTAACACATTATTACAATACGCAATTTAGTTTTGAATTTAATATCAAATTATAATAAAAATTATTCAATAATTAAAAATCTACACATTCTCCAATTAGTTTTCATATTACATTTAATTCATTGCAGTCCACTTGTGGATTTTGTATAATATTCCAGCTTCAAAATCTATAAGCTAATTCATAAAAATGTATATATAAAATTCTTTCTGCAAATCCGTGTTTGGCAATTATGGTATAGAACATTCAAAATAAAATTTAGAAAAAAGGAATAAAGCAGAAATAAGTTCAGTTTAGGGAAGAAAATCAAGACACTGCTTTTGTGTTAGAAAGAAAGATTTGAATGGTAAAGTCATTCCATTCATGTACAGAGAAATATTCGGTTAAAAAAGACAAACTATATAGCAGTTGAAATCCACTAGTGGTCAAGATGGATAAAAAAATTAAATCCCAGTATTTTGTAAATCCAGTAAAAGGCATAAATATGTTACTAATAAGTACACATTGTGACCAATGTATAATGATACTGATCATTACACTTTAAAAATACTTTTATTTCACATAATAATCAAGAGATAATGAAATAACACTGAAGAAAAAACTGTATAGATGATCTTGCCATCTTCGAGAGGTAACACATTGGTCATAGAACTTTTTGGATGTTCTAATTTTCGTCAAAGAAAATCTGCAAGTATCCTAAAAGCACTTATTTTCTGAAAGCTAACCAAGCATACTATATAGACAGTCACAAAAACAAGTGCCATTGGGACTCCATACAGTACAGGCCGATACTATATTAAAATATACGAATGTCAATATACACTCATAATATTTTTGCACAGACATAAAACCATCATTTAACTGCATAACTCAAATTTAAACTTTTGTTTTAATAATAAAATATACAAATTATTCCTAAGAAAATTTCAGCCATTAATGAGATAAGGGAATTGAATATAATAAAATTCCTTAGACAACAAAAATTAAAAATAATTTTATAAACCTGCTTGAAACTGAAAACATTAAACATTAGAAAAATTCAGATTTGACTATGGTTACACACACACGATTAAATATAAAATATTTCTATCAAAAATATTTAAAAGATTTAATACCAGAGATTTTCTTCTTATTATAAAAATACACAGGTTTTATGCCAAAGTACGTAGAAAAATAGTTGTCCATAAAAGCTGCTTCACAGGTCTTTCAAAATCTGAGCAAATGGAAAAAATGAGCTTTATAATTCTGCACATTCAAAGACAAATATTCTTTAATCTATTTTGTCAGAATCTCTGGTTATAAGTATTTTACATCTCTTTTTAGAAAGCTTAACTCTAAGCACTAGAACATAATTATAATTAATATAATATTAGTTTGTATATAAAACACTTAATTTAAATAACACAGCATGCAGTGTAAAGCAGCAGAAAATGACTAAAATAAGAAAAAATAAATAAAAACAATGGCAAATCAAATGATCTCTATGTCTATTGGCATAAAAATGCAACTAAGGCAACCTTTAACCAAATTTCCGTGTTTGTCTGTACATAATTGTGCAAATTGTGTAATCATCATTCTGAAAACTTCCATGTGGAAAAAACATAAAATACATTCAGAACCTTAAATATATATATATGAAATGAATAAAAAAACCACATTTTTATTTAAATTTGTGAAATTTATTCTTTTATATATATATATTCTTAAACAGTAATTAATTATATATATATATGAAAATTTAATAAAGTATTTTAAATAGTACAGACATAAATAATGTTATGCATGATTACATAAATAAAGTATCTAATATTACATACAACGAGGCGGCCTGGCACTGGGGGGGGTCAAATTTAGAGGCATCGGGCTGACAAAATTTTAAGAGCAGCAAAGATTATGCAAGGGTGAACATTACGCATTGACTCAAAATTCTCTGAATTATGAATCATATTGAAGCTTCATATATGCAATATGATATCTACTCAAAGCTTTCCCGTTAACAATTATATAAAATGAGACGGCAACTTTCCAAAATCTCATTTTCGTTAACTATGTTATTTACTTTCAAGTATAATCATATAATTTACTTACGATCATTATTATATGATCGGTCAAACTTTCAAATCGATGGGAAAAAAAGAAGTTCTCAGAATTGTCAAATTAAAAAGATTTTTGTTAAACTGCACTTGAAAAATAACTATGATTCAACGTTTGATGCAAATATTTACAAAATACAATAAATAACTGCATATATTAATGGCAAAAACAAACTATGATAGGGGAACATTTAAAGCATGATTAAAATGAAAAAAAAAAAAAAATCCATTTCTCAGCTAATCACTAGCTTTATAACATTATATGACATCTGTTTGAAAGAAAACAATTCTGATTTTGCAAATATTCTCTTCTAATGAAACACATTATATTAGAAATAAAAAAAATTCTGAGATAATTTCAGATGGATTTTAACTAATAGCCAATGCATTAATGTGATAATATAAATACATACATGTATGATAATTCTTATCACCAGTAGTGAAAATCAGGCATTATACTGCAGTTAACAGCAATGCAAAAAGCATTTGAGTAATATGAATGAAATCTTTTCAACAGCACATAATAGCAGCATTAACATTTAATACAAAAAGATAGATAAAAGTCAGAAGACAGTTGCATTACAGAAAATATACGAAATTAAGCTGAACTTTTTTATTTCCAATGCTGATTTTTCTTTAGATATTCTCTGGTTATTTCAACTAAGGAACTATTTCATGATAATGATAAAAGTACAAATATTTACAAGCTTTCGATAGTATAAAATTATTACTATTAGAAAAATAAACGTTTATTTGTATGCATATAGAATACTAAATTTAGAAATGAAATTAGAAAATGCTTATACGTAAAAAACTTATTATGCTGGAAAGTAAAAGTAACACATGCCTGTTAATAAGTAAGCAATAATTCCCAAAATATTTTCGGCTTTTCCTTACAGCATCTATCATATACACACCTGAATTTCCATAGAATATCCAGCAACATTTAAATAAAGCCTTCATTTCCTAGCATGAATTCTTACAGCCAAGCGAATCATAAACTCCATTACCGATAATTCGACAGAATTGTACTGATCTTTCAAACGCCAGAAATTAATCATGATTGTGATTTTGCTGGTCATCAAAATAATATAACTTCAGCCATCTTGTTTACAAAAATGCTGTTAAGTGAGTTTGCAAAATTTGCTATAATCGTGACGTCATTTTCAGAGGCCTGGTCACAAAATTTGCTATAATCGTGACGTCATTTTAGAGGCGTTTCTTCAAAGCGTGGCACTTGAATTCGGTTTACCAGCTAACAGGCAGTTGCGACTGGTAACGTCGCACTTGAATTCGCCCCTTAGTCAAATGGCAAATATTCTTCCGAATATTCACCCACTGAAAAATGAATAACCTCTCATTAATATTTCTGCCCCTTCAAAAAAAATGCAATATAAAATCTCATGTTTTAAACAAGCGTTTTCTCTCATTTACAGAAAAAGCAGACATTTTCGGTGTTTCTTTGGAAGAGATTCTTTGGAGCATCATTTCTTATTTGTTATTAATTGAATGTTTTGAAACTGGAAGATAATACATAAAATTAAAGAAATTATTTTGGTGTTCGCTGCGATCCAAAACACTTTCATAGAAAAAGATGGGAAAATTCATATTGGGCGAATCCAATTTTGCAATTGGGCAATTTTTTTAAATATATCGCAACGGCGTAAACGATTTCAAAACAGTGAAGATATATTTTTTGATTTGGCAACTTCGAAGCCTCTACTTGTGAGTTGTCGTCTCTAAGGTGTCGAGTTAGACGTATGTTATGTGTTTCATTTAAAATATTTTCATTATTATGTTGAGAATGGTGAATACTCTGTCATGCTAGTGTACAATTAGGCATTTTTATGAGCCACTTTCTTATAAAATTATACATGTTTAGCAGTTTTCTTTATTTTTATATTCATAACAATGTTTATTAACTTTTTAAATTGCAATAATTCATTGCCTTAGATTGATAGTTTTAGAATGTATGTAATTTTTTTTAATTGTTTCTGCCCTTAGGTAGGATTCTATATACTGTTTGAAGAATTTAACAGTCCTCAGAATGGTATGTATGAATTAATATATTTATCGGTAGCAAAATTTGAGTCTTATCATTTTAACTATTATACGGAAATCCTTAGATTTGTTTTGAAATCAAAATCAATTTGTATGTGTGCACTGTTGACTTAGTTGTCAAATGAGTGACCAATATTCCATCGGGAAAAATTAGTCAAGACAGCTAAGAAAATAAGGAAACAATCAATTTTTGTTTACTGAACCTTAGCTGATATCTGCAGTTGATAATTGCAAATTTCAAAAATATATCAGACATTTTGCTTCCAATCAGTGACAATATTTACAATCAATTTCAGCGATGCTGAACTCGTGTTTACAAATTACACAAGTTTTGTGAACAATAGATAGAATGAACTCTATTAATTAATTATAAGCATGACTGGGAAACTGTTAATGTTTCTTTAGTGGCATTTTAAAATTCTTGCTTTATATTTCACTGCCAGTGTTTATCATGCACGGAATTGCTTGAAAGTTACACAGAAGACATTGTTTGGAATTTGAAAATTGACTTTATCAAGAGAAGAAGTACATATATGGAGCTGTGAATAATTTAAGTGTTGGATCCTAGCACAGCCCACACCCTTGGTGTGCCCAATTATATGGCGCGTATCGATGTCTACATGGACGAAGTCAAGGTAGTGTGCAATTCTAAGATGTTTCTTTAAGAGAAAATAGGTTGATGTGTACATGGCTACCTAATTTGTGCAATTTTTTGACTTGTTATTTTCAAGTTGGCGAGTTTGAGAAACGTGCGAAGCAGTGGGTGATTCTGCACTTTCCCAGTTTGTCGCCAAGGGTGTGGTCTCTCCTAGGATTTTACCTAATTTAAGCCATTTACATTTGGAGATAGCTTATTAATAGAATTGTATCACTTTTGATTTTAGTATAAAATGTTGCTGTAATTACATATTTGTATGACATTATAAATAAATTTTGCCAATTACTTCAGATATTGATGGCCTTGATTGATAATAAGAATTATGAGAAAATTAGGATGTCATCAGAGGAGCTGAAGCTAAAAAAAAAAATTAAGAAGTATGGAAGATTGATTATATCAGTGATGTGTTAAAAATTATCTTTTTCAACATCATATTTTCACAAATTAGAAAATTAATGAATGCAGTAAATGTTAAGGTATATAAAATGTATAGTGGAATGTATCTTTAAAATATAAATATAAATATATATTAAAATATAATATATAAATATTAATAAAAAGGTATATAAAATGTATAGTGGAATGTATCTTTAAAATCCCTTAGTATCTCAAAAAGAAAAGAACTGCGCTGTAGTTGAGTGGTAAGGTTATTGAGCAGTGGTAGTTCAGTCTGGGGTTCAGATCCTGATGATGTACTGCATAAGAGTTTTATTGTTTTACTCAAATGTCTAATGGTTATAAGCCAGTTTCCCTTTAAAAGTGCTCAAAAGAGGCATCCCTCCCTATAGGGAGATAGGCCTTGAGTTGCTTTTTTCTTGCTCAAGATAACCTAATTTAACATATCAAAAAGTTATTTGCAATTTTGGTTTTAAATCAGTATATTTTCCTATAAGCTATCTCAAAACATATTCTTTGAAAACCTTACTACACTCAAAAGTCTTTAATCCGGACTCGTCGGGACTTCGGCGATTCCGGATTATAGATCATCAGTTTAAATCTGGTAAAATCGCATGCAGAAATTATAAAATTAAAGATATGAAACCGTAATTTATAAAATAATGAGCAATTATGATCTAAAGGGTATCAAAATTTGCAAAAAAAGAAGCTTAATATTTATTTGTTTACTTTATTAAACATTTCTTTCAACGTGCGCATGCGTAAAGCATACATTACGCATAGTCGAAATTAGAAAATTGCAACCAGAAAACTATTTGATTTGTATTCATGATATTTATCAAAGACGGAGTAGATCGAGATGAAATACAACATTTAGTAAAGAATTATAAGCCGAATAAAATAAAAACATCTGCCCTGAAGATAAGGATAGTGCTGACAGATCAACTTCCAGTTCATTGCACGTCGGGATGTCCCCCCCTTCCGCAGAGCAGCGTGAAATTGATAAACAGATTTTGGAATGGTTAGAAAGACAAAGAATATGTCTTTATCTATTTTTTGCAGCAATTCCACTTTTTGTTTGATGGACATCGAAACATGCTTTCGCTTTGTAGATCGTTTGGCAGCTCCAGAATCGGAAATTCTATTTGACATAATCGAAAGTTCAAGCTTACTTTTATAAAATTGCTCTTACAGTCTGCAAAAAATAATAAGCCGGATCCAATTCGAAGATTAAGGAACAACGCAATCATCAATATTAACTGTAATAGATAATTAGATAATTTTAGCTTATACCGTTCGTTATTAAACGTGCACGCGAAAACGTATTCTACGCTTGCGCAGACGAATATGCAAGTCATAAAGGTCTTGCGCGCACGCAAAAACGCCTATGCGCATGCGCAGAAAGATTTTAGCTTTGAGGTCCGGATTATAGATTATTCCGGATTATGGGTGTCCGAATTAACGACTTTTGACTGTATTTCAAATTTTTAATTTACATGTCAGAACGATAAGTAAGCAGTTAAATCTATTATTTTCTTGGAATACTGAGTAATCTTAATGACTTCAGGTCTTGTTAACCAGTAATTCCCAGATTTTGCACCAGCATGTGGGAGGGGGAAATATTATCTCTAACAGCATTTGGTGTGGAACAGTTTAATAACATTTAGCTTTTCGTACAATAATAACCAACCAAAAGAGCTATAATTTCTTGTCTACATTTATTCATAGCAACCTTAAATTTAGTTTTTTTTTAGAGTGGACATTTCAGTTGTCAAATGCAGGACTTGTATGTCAAAATTGTCAAGACATGTTGTTTCTTTAAATTTTGTCTTGCTTTTATTGCATTCTAATGAAATTATCCTGAATTCTATTACTTTATTCATTTATTATACTTACAACAGTTTCCTCGCATATGCTTAAAGTATATCAGAGTCCCAAATAGTTAATTCCCATGTATCCAGGATTAGCACTAGACATTTTGCAGCCTGGTGCAATCTTTGCAAGTCCAAATTCTGTTGCCAGGAGCCTCCCTAAATTGTAAAATTTTTCTTCCCAGTGCCTTCCCTAAATTCTGGAGACTTTGCCATCCCTTAATTTTTTTTTGCTTAGTGCTTCTCTAAATTCTAAAAAATTTCCTTCGGTAAATTCTGTCACCCAGTGCAGCTGCACCAGCCCTAGGCTTTACTGAATAATAAATCAGTTATTCTTAATTCCAACAGCACTAAATGTAATCTTTTGGCCTGTGGGTATCACTTCTAAATCTATTCAAAATTTATTGCATATGGAGAGAAATTTCTGTTAAATTTTCCATAATCACCTAGCATAATGTCAACATAAAACGTTACTGTACTCTTTGGTTTTCAATCTCTAATATTAAAATTTAAAAAAAAAGAATCTTTAGGCATCACTGTGCGAGTCATTCCTTAAGCTGCGATTCATCAGGCTGGCATCAGTGCCAAAGTGAAATTAAGAATTAAAACTCTCCACATATTTAATTATAAAAGAAATACCAAATGTGCAGATGTAAAGCTTGAAAATTTTAAAAAAGGGGTTGGTGGTGATCTAGATGTCTGGATTTTAGATCGTTTTTAGATAGTGGATGTCCTGCTTTTGAACTTTGCCCTGTATTGAAATGGTTTTTATATGTAGGCTATTCAGAGAGTAAGGAACGTTTTGGAATTAAAAAGAAATTTAAGTGCAAGGAAAAAAAATTATTATATACATCAGAAAGAGCGACTAAAATTCTACTTTTCTACATAGTCACCAAACTAATTAAGGCACTTATCATAGCGACGGACAAGCTTTGAAATTCCTTCATCATAGAATTCTGCCGCCTGCGATCTCAGCCATTCAGTGACGCACACCCCCAGCTCCTTGTCGTCATCAAGGCACTGTGTTGCTAGCCAGTTCTTCATCCTTGGAAACAAGTGAAAATCACTGGGTGCAAGATCGGGCTATAGGGCGAATGAGGAAAAACCTCCCATTTGAATGAATTGAGGAGTTCTTGAGTGTGGTTTGCCGTGTGAGGTCAGGCATTGTTGTGCAAAAACAAAATTTTAGACATCAACTTTCCTTGCCGCTTGTTTTGAACTGCTCTCATAAGGTTGTGCAAAGTTTGACAGTACCGCCCAGAGTTTATTGTGGCACCATGTTCGAGAAAATCAATCAGAAGCACACCTTGCCTATTCCAAAACACAGTCGCCATAATCTTCTTTGGTAACAAGGTTTGCAAATATTTTGTGTGCTCCCACTGCATGGTCTGTAATTTTGTCACTATTGCCAATTCACGTGTCTCACCCGCGTTTCATCACCAGTTACGATTTGATCCAGTAATGAATCACCATATCTGTTGTAGGCCTCCAGAAATGTCAAAGCTGCCCCCATTCGCTGACCTTCATGGTGGTCTGTAAGCAATTTCGGCACCCATCTCGCACAAAATTTGCGGTAGCCTAGCTTTTATGTGACAATTTCAAACAACAAAGTCCATGAAACTTGTGGAAAACTAAGTGAAAGCTCCGTTATTGTGAAATGGCGGTTTTCACGAATCTTTTCATCAACTTTAGTGACCAGTTCGTCAGTCACAATGCTAAGGCATCTACTCTTCTCTTCATTGTGAACATTCGGCCGTTTTCAAACTGAATGCACCATTTCTGGATTGAACTTTCATTCATTACGTTGTTTCCGTACACTTCACACACTTGCCGATAAATTTCCATAGGTTTTAGGTTTTTTTGCCAACAAAAACCGTATCACAGACCGCACCTCACAACTGGTGTTCAATTGCAGCGTACATTTTAAATTTGAATATCGAAAAAGCAGGCAGCGTAGAAATGATCCCGTTGTGATGGCTGGACACCGACTAAGATGCCGAGCATGCAGACACCAAAATATACGTGATCGGCATGTGCGTAGCAATGTTAGACAGAAATGTTCCTTACTTTCTGAATAGCCCTCATAATTTAAGGTTGCCAACAGGTAAACTTCCTCAAGAAAGAGATCTTCAAACAGAAAGATTGTGTTCAAGTAACCACTTCATGAAATTAAATGCAATTAGTAGCTGAAATTGCCATGCAGCATTCCTGTATGCTGAGAAGGAAAAGGTGTTTCAAATATAAACATGATTTGTTGGATCATATATTTAATTCATTACTACTGTTTGATTCTTTACTTGTCAGACATTAATGTCTTGCAAACTGTTTCAAATGAATTGTAGTACAACGGTTGATTGAAAGAGCATGATAAAGTCTTTGCTATCTCATCCAAATGCTAAAATCAATAGACACAATAAAATTGTAAAGTCATGAAAACTTATTTATAAAAAGAAACATAACTTATGCAGTGCTCTGTCACTCACAGTTAGTTTTGAAGGATTTTTCTTGGACTGGAAGAATTATCTTTTCCAACATTTTTATCGTTGTGCCCATAGGTTTCATTTCATCTAGTATTAAACCAAAGCCTTTACTGTAAAAAAGAGATAAGCTAAAATTTGCCATTATTGTGCCAGAAATATGTGGTATGGCTTTAACTGAAAAATATTGTTATGAATTGTGCACATTTAGAGAGTTTAGTGCAGTTAGATGTGAAATTGTGTGTTTCTGCATAATGTAACATGAAAAGTCTGCAGAGAAAAGCTTTGCCGAGAAAGTAAGAATACAAGGGCAAGTCTATTTAACCCTCCGAGCGGCCAGGGTTTTCGCTAAGAAAGCACAAATTTCCCAAAACTATTACGAGAACAAATTATTTTTTTGATTTTAATGTAAAAACTCTGCTGGTATTTCATTCCTGGATTTGTTTTCTTTTCATATATTGCCTTAATTTCTTTGACATATTTTAATATGCACATATATATACATTCTTACAGATATCACAAAAATTATTCTAGCCGCTTAGAGGGATAACATTGACTCAGTAGTATCTCAGTAATTTGGTGAGATTTATGACCGGCAATGGTTTTGGCGATTAACCTTTGCCACCAAATTTGGAAGAGAA